AAATGTAAAACTAATCCTAACTCTAACCCTAACCCTAACACTAACCTTAAACCTAACCCTAACCCTAACATGAACACTAACAGTAAACCTAACCCTAATGGTAAACCTAAAACTAACCCTAAATTTAACCCTAATGCAAACCCTAACACTAACATTAACCCTAACCCCAATGTTAAATCTAATTCTAACCGTAATCCCAAACCTAACCCTAACCACAACCCTGACACAAACCCTAACACTAACCATACCACTAAACCGAACCTTAACCTTAACTCTATCCCTAAACCTAATATTAATGCTAATCCAAACCCTAACACAAACACTAACCCTATCTCTAACTCTAAACCTAAAACTAACCGTAACCCTAACCCTAATTATAATTTTAACCATAAACCTAAACCTAACCTAACCCTAACCCTAAGACAAAACCTAACCCTAAACCTAACCCTAACACTAAACCTAACCCTTACCCTAAACCTAACACTAACCTTATCCCTAAAATTAACACTAACCCTAACCCTAAATCTAAACCTAACCCTGACACTAAACCTAAAACTAACTCTAATGCAAAAATTAACATTAACAGTAACCCTAATACTAATCTTAATCTTACCAGTAAACCTAACCTTACACTTACCTTAAACCTAACCTTAACACAAACCCTAACCCTAACCCTAACACTAACCCTAACTCTAACTCAAACCATAACATTAACCCTAACTCTAACCCTAAACCTCACCATAACACTAATTATAACACATAATTTAACTCTAACCCTAAACCTAACATTAAACCCTAAACCTAATCCTAATCCTTACCATAAATATAACCTAACCCTAAAATTAACCCTAACCATAACACTAACACTAAACTTAACTTTAACCATAACCCTATCCCAAACACTAACCTTAACCCGAAACCTAACACTAACAATAACCATAACACTAAGCCTAAAACTAACCCTAGCCTAACTCTAACACTAAACCCAACACTAAACCTAACCCAAACCCTAACACTGAACCTAACCTTAAACCTAAACCTAACCCTAACCCTAAAACTTACCCTAACCCTAACCCTAAACGGAGCACTAAGGATAACCCTAACCCTAACCGTAACTGTAACACTAAACCTAAACCTAACCCTAACCCTTACACTAACTCTAACCCTAAACCTATCCCTAAACTTAACACTATAACTAACACTAACCCTAACCCTAATCCTAACCCTAAAACTTACCCTAACCCTAACCCTAAACCGAGCACTAAGGATAACCCTAACCCTAACTGTAACACTAAACCTAAAACTAACCCTAACCATTACACTAACCCTAACCCTAAACCTATCCCTAAACTTAACACTATAACTAACACTAACCCTAACCCTAATCCTAACCCTAAAACTTAACCTAACCCTAACCCTAAACCGAGCACTAAGGATAACCCTAACCCTAACCATAACCATAACACTAAACCTAAACCTAACCCTAACCCTTACACTAACCCTAACCCTAAACATATCCCTAAACTTTACACTATAATTAACACTAACCCTAACACTAACCCTAACCCTAATCCTAACACTAAACCTAACCCTAAGACAAACCCTAATCCTTATCTTACCACTCACCATAACCCTAACCCAAATTCTAACCCTAACCTTAACACTAACTTACAAACCTAACCCTAACCCTAACCGTAACCCTAACACTAACACTCACACAAACCTAAACAAAATCTTAACCCTAACACTACCCTAACTCTAACCCTAACTTTAACCCTAACACTAACCCTAAACCTAACACTAACATTAACCTATCCCTAACACTAACACTAACCTTAACACTAATCATAATCCTAACCCAAACACTGACCATAACCCGAACGCTAATCTTATCACTAACACTAACCTTAAACATAACCCTAAACCTATCGCTAACCCTAACCCTAACCCTAATACTAACACTAACTCTAACCCTAACCTAAAAGTAACACTAACCCTAACCCTAAAACTAAATGTAAACTTAACACTAACCCTAAAACTAACCTTCATCCTAACACTAACCGTATACCTAAACGTAACCCGAACACTAACCCTAAAACTAACAGTAATCTTAACCATAACATTAACCCTGAACCTCAGCCTAACACTAACCCTAAATCTATCCCTAACCCTAACACTATCCATAACCCTAACCCTAACTTTAACTCAAACTCTAAAAATGACCCTAACCCTAAACCTAACCCTAACCCTAACCCTAACACTCACACTAACTCTAAACCTAACACGAACTCTAACCTTAACACTAACACTATCCCTAATCCTAACACTAACACTAAACTATTCCTTACCATAAATTTAACCCTAACCCTAAACCTAACACTAACTCTAACACTAACCCTAACACTAAACCTAACCCTAATCAAACTGTAACCCTAAACCTAATACTGACCCTAACCCTAACACAAGCCCTAACACTAATCCTCACCCTAACCCTAAATGAAACCCTAACCTAAACCTAACCTTAAACCTAAATCTAAACCTAACCCTCAGCCTCACCCTAATCCTAACTCTAACTTAAGCACTAACCCTAACCCTAATCCTAACCCTAACACTAACCCTAACCCTAACAGTAACCCTAAAACTTACTCTAACCTTAACACTAACCCTAACACTAATGCTAACCCTAAAACTAGTTATAAACCTTACCCAAACTTTAACTCTAACACTAACGCTAACTCTAACCCTAATCCTAAACTAACTTTAACCCTAATCTTAACCCTAATCCTAACACAAAACCTAACCCAAACCATAACGTAAACCTAACTAAACCCTAACCCTAAACCTTTTCTAACCCTAACCCTAACGCTAACATTAACCCTAACCCTAACTCTAACCATCATGCTAAATATAACCCTAACCCTAACCCTCACACTAACCCTAAACCTATCCCTAATCCTAACAGTATACCTAAACCTAACCATAAGCCTAACACTAACACTAACCCTAACACTAACCCTAAACCTAATCCTAACACTAACCCTAACATTAACCCCAAACGTAACCCTAACATGAAACCTAACCCGAACCCTAAACCTAATTCTCTCACTAAACTAACCTAACCCTAAACCTACACTAACCCTAACCCTAAGATTAAACCTAATTCTAAAACTAACCATAACCCTAACACTAACAGAAATCCTAACCCTAACACTGACCCTGTCACTAACATTAACCCTAAACATAAACCTAATATTAACAGAAACCCTAACCCTAACCCTAACACTAACATTAACATTAAACCTAACCCTAACCCTAAGTGAAACACTAAGCCGAACCCTAACCATAACAGTAACCCAAACACTAATCCTAACACTAAATTAACCCTAATCTTCACTGAAACCCCAAACCTAACCCTGACTGTAACACAAAACTTAAACTTTACCCTAACACTAATCCTAACACTTAACCTAACACTAACTCTAAAACTAAACCTAAGCCTAACCAGAACCCTAACCCTAACCCTAACCCTTAACCTAACACTAAAACTAACCCAAACATTAACTCTATCACCCACCTTAAATCTAACCCTAACCCTAACCAAAATTTAACC